AACTGGGTGTGGAAGGGTGCAAAGGTACGGAAGGTGAACCCAGGGTGGACGTTTCAAGTGAATGGCTCAGGAGTGGGTGAAACACCAGGGCGAAAAGTTCGAATGTGCGAGGTTACTGTAGCTCATGTGAGCAGGGGAATGCAGATGAGTGAGATTGTGCCCACTGCTTCCGAACCGCCGATGCAGTTCGAAGGCAGTGGGTACAATTGCAGGGTGTGGGCGGTTTCGCCAGCGTCACTGGTGGAAGGGCCGACTGAGGTGTGGCCTGACGCCCTCTCGTGACCCTTCCACCAATGACGCTGGCAACAACCGTCCACCTCCAGCAACGTGCCGACTGCCTCTAAAGGATGGTTTTCAAGTAGTCTGTAGATTACGCATGACATAAAGCGAGTTCTTGAGCTGGTAGCCTAAGTCGATGAATTTTCAGAATGATGGTTATTATATTGACGAGAACATGACGATGGATGAAGTTGTAGTAAGTTTTATTCATTTCTCTTGTTAAAGACTGATTAGTCATAGTTTTTTTTGCTTCCAGGTGAATGAAGGTGGATTTTTCCTGTTGAGCCCTAAGAGAGGTGAAAGGAAGAGTTTCCCCCAGAATAAAGTGGGTATTCCTGATTCGTTAGTTATTTCTATGTAAATTTTTGTCTACATGAACTTGTAATCTTTGCAGATCAGCATCAAAACCTACTACAATGACAAGACGTTTAGTGGAGATGGCGTGCTGACGACGTCAAGCTCCTGCCTGTCAAATCCGTCTGAGGTTGGACTTGATTTACACTCAGCGTTGTTGATGTTTCAGGGGAATTACAAGGGTTTGAATAGAAGCTGGGATCATAGCGTGTAGTAGCTTCAAAAGAGAATCTAATATGCGCGCTACAGTACTTTGGTTGGGTGCAGCCGGCAGCAAGACTAGGCCACACCCATTTTCTGCCCGCCTGCACCGGTGAGATAGTGATGGGTGAGTTTTGTCAGGATCGCTGAGGGACAAGAAAATGGGCGCGGCAGTGTCTCTTGCACTGCCCCCACAATTAATCATAGAGCTAAAAGCTGCTGTAAAAGTATGAAGGTTCAAAGCAAATGGCGTCGACTAGTGCTTTCTTTATATGCGCTATGCATGTGATTTCCAGTAAGAACTGATTTCCGACATACACTCCATAGCCCGGAGACGGAGTGGGCGTGGCTGCATACCCTATTAGAAGCTGACGACGGCTGCGTTTTTTTCTGTTATTTGCCATTCTAGTATTATCGGAATCGTCTTCGTCCAGTACTAGAGAGAATGACAATGTCTTGAATAGGAATGTCTAAAGAAGATCGGAATATAACGGAATATCATTAAAAAAAACGTCTCTAAGCCCTTCCCTTTCTCGGGACACAGGGTGTATTTGAGTGCTACATGGCTTGAATGAGGCCTTGTGTACGTTAGTCGGTGTACAAAGTGGTGTTTTTATCCCGTCTAGTAAGAATGGTACCAAATGACTGATTCAGCCAGTACGGAAGACGTGCTGCGTAGGATTTGTTTGAAGTTCTCTTTCTTCGATCATGTAATGTGCCGCCACAGATCGATCCCAGGCTATAGTGTGGTAGGTTCACGTTGTTGAGACACAGCTTTGGTAGTGCCATGTGTACGGTATGCGCTCAGGACCTAACTGATTCAACATGGACGTGCTGCAATAGGCCACTAACTAAAGATCTACTAGTTTTTGCTCATCGCCGCAACGTAAATCTCCTGCATTACACAAACGGATCATATGACATCCCACAACTTATGCTCCCCGTGATGACGTTTACGAGACGTTATAGTTTGAACTTCACACTTGGTTGGGACGTAAAAAATTAGTTAATTGCTCGCTCAATCGCTGACGCCATAATTATTTTGCTACGTTTCATCTGTTGTCATCCTTCACGTTGAGATTTTGATACTTCATTCATAAATTCTCACGAAAATTGTGGAAAAGAATGTGTTTATGATGGAAGTGGTGGGCTCCTCGGATACGCCATGCATACAGCTTGAATTGCAAGTAAATGTGAATGCGTGTTGTGCCTATGCGTATGTCTCTTTTTAGACCTTGTTATGTTTTTTTGCGGAATCTCGGTGTTTGAAAATAACTGGAAATATTCTTATATACGTAACCTCGCTACATATAGTCTTAATTGCCGCATGCAAAATCCGCTCCTAGTGGGTGAGTTCCGGCCACTTTTCCGGAACTTTGTAATTTTTTCAGAAAATTCCGACATTTTTGACTCTCTTACACATTGCTCCGCCTAGGCCGTGCCCGCTTTGGCTGCCGCCCTCTTCCTTCCTCAGAATTTATTAAAATTACAACATTTTCTGATGCATTCAAAACTCGTTTCTTCACCTATAGCCCTGCTCACTTTGGAGAGCTGCGCCCACTGTGGATAAATTGACCACCCTCTAAAAAGTGAACTGGTCGTAAAAATCCATCCACTATTTGGCAAACTAGGGACTTGCTCGTTTTTTTTTTCTCTTGAATAAACCAGACAAATCGCTCCACTAACCACCGAGTTGATTTGTACATCGAACTGCTACAACAAAATGAAGTAGTCGTAGTCATTTTCCCACTGAAACGTGGCTTCAGCTGGAACATATCTGAGGAGAGATGCGGACCTTAGGTCTGGCGATCCCATCCACGTATTTTATTGGTTTTGGCTGTACCTCCTACCATCACCCCATATATATAATTCGCTTTGTCTGCTTGTTTGTTTGTTTGTTTGTTTGTTTGTTTGTTTGTTTGTAAGTTTGTCTGTCCGGAAATTCGGTTCGACCTGAAGAACGACTTGGAGAGGTCAGTCAAGGTGGGGATAGGTAGGGCATGGGACAAGAAATAAAAAGCACACTTGACCTATGGGAAGCCCGCCCACAGTGGGCGGGGCACTCGCCGAAAGTTTGGGGTTCCGCAGAAAAATGTTCATAATTCGCTTCCGGAGCAGCTTAAAGATGGGGAAAAAGGGACTAAGGTTAGTAAGGAGTCGCCAGACTAACTGTGGCAGGTACACCCTAAATGGGCGGGGCGTACTCAAGGTGGGCGGTGCTTCTCGCAAAATTCAGTAACCCGGTTCGCGAGAGTGTTTGGAAGTCGCAAAAAACTCAGTGTAGAATGTAAATATCCGGCGAATATAGGGCACGCTCAAAGTGTGTTGAGACCCGCCCACAGTGGGCGGAGCTTGCCCTAAATCGCAGGGTATTCATTTTAAAAGTTTGTAGCTCGGTTCCAGAACACTCCAGATACCGGAAAAAAGTGGATTA